CCAGTTTAAAGCACTATTAGACATTTTCTTATGCGAATCCTCGCGCTGGCGAGCATACTGGCGCTGAGAACATAAAGAGCAGTGCTACACACTTTTTCCACTTATGCTTTCAGGTTAACGACTGCCATTGACCGAGAAGAACAAAACCGACCCGGGAAAACGGGCAAAAGCCTCGATTCTGTGTATCAATCTGTGAATCCGTGAATCATCGGTTCTCAGAATACGCAGAAAAGGTCCCCTGATTATAAAATTTGCTTTCATCTATGAGAAAGTACGGCTTAGAAGCAGTTTTTCATGGTGAAGAGGCTACAATATATTGACGTCTCCACTGACTTGATTACTTGTTTCACCATTCCGGCCTCTGCATCGCCCGATAGTTTAGGTCACCAAGCACTGGGGAATAATGTATAGAATCTTTGCCAAACAGCTTATATTGCTCTTTTCGACACGGAATCGTGGCTAAAGGGTTCTTCAGTTCCTATTTGTTTGAGGCTAACAGACCAACCAACCGAGGAAGACTTGCTCGCTACAATCCCATACTAAAGACATTCGGCCTGACATTTAAGACGATATGTATGTGGTATAGGTTACCCCTAGAAAACCTGGCGTTACCGTAACCTAAATTCCTAAACCGAAATAACCTGATGAGATCGCAAAGGAGTAGAGAATAAGAAGCGATTATTGAGAATTTGTGTGCATTTGTGCCAAAAACCGATGATAAGATTTGGTTTTCTTGTGTGAAAGCGATGGTTGGGACACAAGTAAATGTCACTTGGGCTATACGTGATACATTGTGCGTCTAGCCGCCGGCTGCTTACGCACATAAAGCGGAAGCACCACCAAATTCGCGCGGATGCCGGGACTTAGATGGAACGTTCCGATGAAAATAAGATCAGGTGGGATTGGACAAGGCTGATGTTTGAAAGTAAGGAGGACACAATAGTGGGCAGTGGAAGCAACTGATCTCTTCTGATACAGCAATTTACACGTCATACGAAGTCCTGTAGAAACAGTGGTTTCATCAAAATGCGAAACCACTACACTGTTTGCACATAGCCGCGTAACGGACACTATTCTGTGGAGATGTTCTGGGTCGGTGAACCTTGTGGTATTTAGGGAAAATGAGAAGTTGACAGTAGCTTTCCCCTTCTGCCTTCAACTTCATAGTGGGAACAAAAAGCACGGAACCCATGGCTGTTTTGAATTTCGACCAATGAGCGTTGGCCATACGAATTTGACGGCCTACGTGTGCAGTGGGCCAACCGCTAGGTTCCCTATTCACCAGGTATGCTGTGCTAGCAACATGTCCTCTTTGTATTTGTCTACCCATTTCACCTGGAAGCCATCCACTAGTTCACGCAGGCCAACCTGAGTGACGTTTGGAGGTTTGAATCCTCCTTGAGAAGCTGACAATAGATTTTCCATCTGCTTCCTAACACCCACAGTTTTTGTATTATCTCGAATATAAGAGGATTGTTTGCATAATGCGGCCACTCCAGACTAGATACCCATGTACATACTTTATGCACTCTCTGATCCACGGACCACCACCGAAACTACACTGAACCTAATACAAACCTCCTGGGCTCTCGACTGGATGATGAACCTAATGAACTTCTTGGACCAAGCATTGACTTCCTAAAGGATGAATTTTACCGACAATAAGGCAAAATGACGCTCAGAAGTTTCAACTTCAAACTAGCCCGATCGTTGCCTGTTTGAAAGTTTCTAGGTGTAGGTATTTCAGAACGCTTGAGGTACAAACCCGTTCAGCCGTAGCATCCTTTCGGTGTCTAGCTGGGATGCCACCCGAAGAAAGTACGAGGTCTGGGATACTGCTAAGTTATCCACTTCTAAACAGGAGAATCTGAGAGGCAGGGGTCGGATTCGAATCACGGATCTTCCCGTCAGTTCATTCGCGCTCTAGCCACTGAGCCAACTCTCTTGAGGTAGCCTAGAACCAGATACGTTCCTCACTTCCTCCCTTCGCTTTTCACTTTAAGGCCTTACACACACGTAAATAAGCCGTTGGTTGTACGGCAGCGGTGCGTCATTGTCAACATTATTGATTCTGTTTCTGATGATGATCTTGTTGGTTCACTTCAAAGTGAATTCGAGTTATTTCATCGATACTTTCCAGCGATAACAACAAACGAGTCAATCATTTAATTTATCGGCAATAAGCCCTGTGGCATTTGTTCCAGCGGCTACAGTTTCGATCACCGAGAAGTGGGAAAGTGTGGAACGTATATTCAAGTCTTAGAGGTGGTGGCTTATTTTCTTATTTCAGGGACTGGGTAGCGATAGATTTCGTCAACGAGCGATTGGACCATTTCTGTTAGTGTCCTTAACCAGTAGTGAGTTAAATCCCGTGGTCCTCATCCATGGAGACGGCGGTTGTCGACCCGAACCAGTTTGCTGACAAGCTTTTTCTTACTTCATTGGCATTCACTGTCCACCTCGTAGTCGTTTCCACTCTGTAGGACTGGGTGAAGGGGGCTCTGTGATGCAGACAGACTTCTGGCATATGGATTATATGTCCTAACCGGCATAACCTATAAAGCGTGAGTGATTCACCTACTGTGGAAGAGTTTTTTCTAGAGCCATCTGGCGTACCTCAACATTACTACTCCCACTACACCCGATGAATGCTTCGGAGTAACCGATGATCAAACACCTACATCTGTCATATGTTCTCTGCGCGTAGGGGCCACGTCTCTTATCCATAACGCAGTGTGGATCGCTCTGCCGTTAACAGACAGACGTCACGTTGCCACCATAAGTGTCGGTGGTTAACAAAAGCTGCCCTGGCTTTCCCGGTCCTCCAGCAAGTCCACCGGAACTAATACGAATCGCCCAGGTAAACAAATTCATCCATAACGTCGATTGAATCGTCTGAAAGCATGCTGCTTGGGTTCCATCCAACCCGGTCTTGTAGCAACATTTTACAGTTTGCAGGTGTGAAGCTGGGCGAATTAGCCAGAGTGATCCGAGCGCGAATTTACTGACCGAAAGATCCATTTTCGAACCCCGGTCCTCCAGCAAGTCCACCGGAACTAATACGAATCGCCCAGGTAAACAAATTCATCCATAACGTCGATTGAATCGTCTGAAAGCATGCTGCTTGGGTTCCATCCAACCCGGTCTTGTAGCAACATTTTACAGTTTGCAGGTGTGAAGCTGGGCGAATTAGCCAGAGTGATCCGAGCGCGAATTTACTGACCGAAAGATCCATGTTTCGAACCCGACCTCTGGCTTTCGACTAGGCTTGGGCAACCTGGCAGTATCCCAGCCCTCGTGTCTCCTTCGTGTGGCACGGCTGCTAGGCACCGAAAGGGTGCTACAGCTGAGCGATTATTGTTTTATTATTAGATGCGAAGCTCATGCCAAACCGTGCGGCATTTATTTACGTCTCTCAAAATGGTTTACATTCTTGAAGGATCTAAACCGAGGAACGCAATATAGTCTACTCACTCGATGTCTGTGGGGAGACGTCCAAGGAGCATTTCGACCCCTGAGGTTTCAGTGGCAGACAGAGACATTTCAAGCGGCATATCAGTAACAAAGTTGAACAGGAAAGGTGAAAGAGAGCAGTCTTGTCTTACATCACTGAACGTGTTGAACCCGGACGAAAGCTTGCCGTATACTCGTACGCACCCACAGGAGTTCGCATACAGAGCCGTCATAGGGGAAATAAATTTGGAAGGGACACCTTGACCGCGATCAACAGTCAAAAGCACCCTTCAAATTGAGGAAAACGAGGAAGTGCGGCGTCTGAAGGAGTGGCGCTGTTCAATTTAATAATATGGTCGATGCATCTTCGATGAGGGTGAAATCCAGCTTGATTCTTGCAAATTTGTCTCTTCCAATAATCGAACAACATTCAAAAAATAATGCCAGAGCGCACCTTAGATTCGACGGATACTGGGCTCATTCCACAATGACTTTCGCATGAAGTTCTTGCGCCGTTTTCAAATACTGCGATGACGGTTGAAGAACTCCATTCGGCTGGTATTCTATTTTAGTTCCAAACTTCTGCAGTACGGTTGTGAGACTTTTCACGAGAACCTCGTTTGAAGACTGCAGGAAGTAAGCTATCCCACCAGGTGACTTGGAACGATTTAGGATTGATATCTCACTGGATCTCGGTTGTTGACAGCGGGCTGGTGCTGGCATGCAGTTCAAGCCCACCGGGTTCCTCCAGTTGCTGGGTTGAAGGAGATCATGTGCACTGTCCCTGGAAGTGCTTAGCTCATCGCTCAAGACTGCAATTGAGCGAGTGAATTACCGTTTCCTCCTTTTCGGATACGGTTTCGCTGACAGTTACCTTGTTTTGAGTGGCTGATTGAGTCAGCTGAAACAGGATGCGGTTGTTGCCTGCGGCGAATGCCTTCACCATCACATAGGCCTTTAAAATCCACTAGTTTTCTATGTAGTTCTGCAGGATTCTGGTTATCCGGTGTTCGATGGATCTGCGTGTGCAATCACAGTCACTAGTTGATGGTATGGACTTTCTGTCAGCAACAAGATCCGGTGATCTCCATAATATCCACTGTTCATTTGGTCGAGCCGCATGGCTTGGACAAACAGTCCTAGAAGCTGGGAGCATAGCTTCTTGCACTCACTTCCATTCAGTATCCGAGCCTTCTTCGCCATTTGCATGACTGTGCGTTTTTAGTAGACATCACTATCTCTCCTGATGCGGCTGTGGGCAGCGGGTACCTTTTGAGCAGCATCAGACTCTTTGGTTTTAAAAGTTTCTACCGTATTGGTGTGGGCGCCCTGGCAGTATCCCAGCCCTCGTACAACCATGACCTACACAACTAACAATACTCTCATGCCACATCGGCGTCGCGTGGTGCCATCAGCCGGGTCGCCTTACTTGCTGCATACAGCAGGGCGGGTAAGCGAAAACAGGCTACTGCTGACGCCTCCCTTCTTACACTTTCACGTTTTCCGTCTTCCACCCTCCCCCGCCCAAATTTGAATACTTTCTCCGCAGGTCCCAGCTCTAGGACTGACCGTGTTGCTCGCCCTACATCACACTCAGCTGCAGCTTCTGCACGTCCGAGTTCAGTTACAGCCCTAAACACTTCGAAGTCTGTTTTCAAACCCCGAAAGCCTGTATATTTAACCACCTTCAATGTTCGCACACTGAAGGAAGCAGGTCAACAGGTGGCTCTTGCGCGTACACTGGATTCCCTCTGTATTGATGCATGTTGTCTGTCGGAAACAAGAACGCAGGACGCAAGTACCGTGATCGAACTGACTGCCCCCTCGCTCTCCTCCAGGTTCCGGCTGCGCACCTCTGGTGGTGCAGAGGCCGCTGCAGCTGGATATGCTGAGGTGGGTATTGTATTGAGCGAACAAACGGAAGCTTCTCTGCTTGATTAGATACCCGTCCATAGTCGCCTCTGTGCGGTTCGTTTGTCAACATCTGTGAGAGAATCTAGGGAAAGTGCGGTTCATCGCACCCTGTTTATTGTGTCTGCGTCCGCCCCCACCGTCTGTAGCTTCAAATCTGCCGAACACAGTTTCTGTGACGCTCTGAATGCTCTTCTACAGCTGGCTAAAATCTCAGATATCTTTGTGGTTG